TTTTTCTTTGCCCCATTTCCTTTTTGCTCCAAGACCGGAGCGTTTCAACACACAACCCACCCGTGTGTGCTTCACTCCTAACTCCTTTTCCTGTAAAAATACTTGTCTTATCTCGTGACTTTCCCTTCGGCGAGCGGGCTGCCATAAATTACCGCGGGCGGGCGGCTTTGGAGCCACTTCCAGGGCCATTTGCTGCAGATTTCTCTCTCCCTTCGACTGTTCTTAATAAATGGTGCCCAGACCATAACAGAAGAAAGAAGAGGAATGTGCCTTGGATTTTTGTGAGAGGCAGCAAAGGAGTTTCCCATGGGAACACCCGTCTGGAAAGCTGCTTTTTGCCACAAACTCCAAAGTACTTCTTTTTAATTATTCTTTTTTTTCCTTTTTTCCCCCCTTTTCTTTCCCCATCAACTGTCCATCATGGTGAAAATCTTCCTCGAGGTCTGTGCCCCTCGGCTTCTCCCGTGCTTCCCTGACCCCTCTTCAGCATCGCTGCTCCTGGGGAGGCTCAAGGGTGCAGGGAGCACCGGGTGGTCCAGCACCTCGAGAAGGGGCTGTGGGGCTCTTGCCACTGAGGCTGTAGCTGGGTCAGCAGGAGGTGAAGTGTTTCTGTGGGTGACAAGAGCATCCAGAGGAAGAATAGTAAATATTGAAAAATCCTCAAGGGTTTTTAAGAGCTCTAAATCCCTCTGCGTTACGCCTCAGCTTGCCTCTCTCCTCGGGAAGCATCCCTGCTCCCCAAAAAACACATCCTAGTGCTGCTTGCTGAAAGGGTTTCTGCGCTTCCCTCCGAAGCATCTTTGTAACAACCGGGTACCAAACGAGGGGAGGAAGCACTGGTCTGATACAGCCTGGCACTTTGGGTGTCCTTCCATTTTCCATCCCCTATTTAGCTCCGTGTAGCGAACTTGTTCCCACTGCTCTGGTTTGCAAATGTTGTGTAGGTCAAGCTGAAGATTTTTCTTGGCTCCGGTCCTGCGTGTCCTTGCCAAGAATGTGGTTTATTGCATGCAAATGTTAGTCAACAGCTACATTATCCAAAGGCAGCCTTTCTTCTTCTTTTTTTTTCCGCTTTAAATAAATGATTTGGCACAAACAAGTGTAAATGTTATGTCAGCATTAGACACCGTTTAATCTTGATAGATATGTTAGCGGCGGAGCGTGACACTAATTGACAGACATTAAATGATGCTTTCTGTTTCCAGTTGCGTACAAACAGGAGTTCTGCTTCGTTAAGGCTGATTAAAACTCCTGTCTCCATCATTCATTAGGGTGGGATTTTTCTTTTCTGTATTAATCAAGGGGGTATTTACCACCGGGAAGGCCTGCCATATCGTTCCCATTGTTGTGATTAATGCCTTAACACTCTCGGATGATTTGGTTATCCAAACAGTTCAGCCCTTTTCTTGTCCTCTGCTTTGTACTTGGAAAAAACCCCAAAAAACCAACTCTAAGTCGATCTTCTGTCCCTAAAGAAACCTCTCGGGGGTTGCAGAGAAAAGGGTTGGGAAGGAGAGGAGGGAGGGCAATGGTTGTGGCGGGGGTGAGCCGAGGCTATGCAGGGGCTGGAGCTGCCACCTGCATCCAACTGACACCGGTGTGGGACCCAGAACCTGTTTTGGCAGATGGATATGCTGCAAAAAAACCCCAATGTACACTTTCCTGTGTCTGTGTTGCAGCACAAAGGCCTTTTGGTCTGGGTTATGAACAAGGAGGATCTTATAAGGACCATGGTGCTGGCAGGATCGGTGTGTGGGAGGAGACCCGATTTCCAGCCCTGGCTGCGGGGACCGCAGCTTGTCACTGCCTATGACAAATGGTCACCCACGTACAGGAGCTGTTGTTCCCTTCCACAAAATCTCCCGGTGAAGGAGGCAGAGCCGCGTCTGCCTGAGGATTTGGCTGGTGAGGATCCAGCACCAGCCTCCTAAGGCAATGGGACCTCCCCTGGGATCTCACTTTGCCAGCTTGATGCCAGCTTTGGCTTATTTTTTTATTTTAAGGCTACTGAAATATGCAATTAAGCTGGGAGTAATGGTATTTCAGCTCGCTTTCCATTTGGGAAAGTTGCTGCTGCTAGCAGCAGAGGCGAGGGAGTGCATGGAGGGACAGGCTGGGACTCAAGGTCAGTCCCTCTCCACCTCCATACCAGGGTCAGGCATTCACGCTGACAGCTCCCAGGGTGAATTCTTATGTTCCTGCAGAGCCCAACGCTGCCCTTGGTTGCAGGGCTGGAAGGCAGGGGCAGGAATAAAAACTGGGACCAGTGCTTGTAGTGCAAAACTCGGGATACCACTTGGATTGTGTGTGTGGGATTACGTGTAATTTGGGGTAAAGTGCTTCACCCATATTAGCTTTTTCTTTTGGGAAATGGTCACTTGTATCATGCTCACTGGACAGTAAATGGGATTAGAGGATGCTCAGTGGCTCTCCATACCTGGCTGGAGCAGCATTTGGGGCTGAGCACCTAGAAATAGTGATGAACAGTGCTTTACCACCGGCAAAACCTTGTGAGCTGGTGCTTGTGACAACTCGTTGCACAAATCTCACCCGGGGGCTGCGCCCGCAGCAGGCGTTCGTCTGAGAACCTGGTGGGAGAGCTGTGGCAGAAACAGGGTTTAAAAGGAAATCCAAACCCAGAGCAAAAAAACCCAGCGAGGCAGCTTGTTTCTAATAAAGACTCTGTGCTCTTTATTCCAAAGGATAATGCACGTCAGATAAAATAGTATCAAAACAACTGTACAAAAATAGCGACTATTTGCACTGGGCTTGCTTTATGCCCTCAAAGTTAAGTAGGAGCAGTTGGGTGGCGAAGCAACAGGGATATTTTACTGGTTGGAAACCATCAGCAGGGAAAAAAAGTAGCTATGACACAAGCATTTTCCCAAAGAAGCACCCAAGAAGTTGAGTTTATATCTAATTTTCAGTTTATATCTAATTTTCCCAGCCCATATCTTACTTTCCCAGCCTGATTCAGTCCTTCCCAGCATGATGTGCCTGTCCCTGCTGCTCTTCCGCTGCCTGAGCAAAGGACACACCATGATCCCTGCTCAGGGGCAGCGCTGGGATGGCTCATCCCGTGTATTTAGTGCAAATGTTGTGTCTCTGCATTGGTTGAAGCAGCATCCCAAGGGTCCGGGTGAGCCCCTGGGATTTCAGCAGGGTGTCCTGGAGGGGCCATCAGGAGGGATGCATGCCCTGCGAGGCTGTAAGGGCGGGTTTTTTTGTTCCAAGCAGGGGATAAGCCAAGTCCAAAGTGGATAAGCAGCAGTGCCGGGTTGGAAACACATTGCAACAGTGCAGGGGAGATGGCCTTCTCGCCCAGCGCCGGGCTGGGAGATACACAGTGTCTCAGAGCCAGAGCGGGAAGAAAAAAGTTATCTCAAGATATTAGGGGTAACTTTCAGACAATTACAAAGCAACTGGTTGTCCTCCAAACTTGGTAAACAGCTTTGATAGCAAGAACAGCTATCTGCCACAAAGGGTTTCCATTTGCCTGTTCTCCTCTCCCTGCCCTCCCTTCCCAGGAGTTTTGCCTCATCCCCAGCAGCTTCGTCTGTGAGCTCGGAAGATCTGGGTCTATAGGCAAGGCAAAAAGATCAGTTCCCAAATAAAAGGGACGGATCCAAGTAATTTCTCAACATTATCTAATTGTCTGTGTTTCCATGTGGCAGGAGGGAGTTGGACCACTGTGGTTTTTTCAGTCATTGCAGAAAAAAACAGGCACCACAGAAACATTTCTGGAGGTTCACGGGGAAGAAACCTCCATGTACAAGATTAAACTGGTTCTGGCAGAGCTGTGCTGTTTTACACCAGCTGAGGTGGTTCCTCCCTTGGAATCCTCATGTATTTCTACGCCTTCTCCCACAGACTTAGTGGCATCTAAAGGTTTAAGTATGATTAGTTACCAAAAAAGAGAAAATCTCTGCTATTCTGCTAGTGCAAGTGGTTGTCAGCTCAGTAAAATGTCGCTGGGAAGCTCTCCTCTTGCCGGGAGTGGGGCTGATTTCTCTCGCAAACGGGGAGTTTGCTGCTTTGAAAGCTGACGGGGAGCGCTGAACTCCGCCAGCTGTTGCTGGTTTAAATCGCTTATACGGGAATGTTCAAACAGCGTCGACACCCGGATATGCAAAACTCATCTGTCGTCGCGCTATTGTCCCCGTTCCCCGGGATTTCTGGTTTGGCTTCTCAGGGCTGGAGAGACACCGGCGGTTGGCGTCTTGGCCGTCGCAGGGGAGAGGGACAGGTTTGGGTGGGGGTAAGCTGGCATTTTGGCACGGGTCCCCCCCACCGCCGGGGCAGCCGCCTTCGCTCACGTCCCAGCGAACCCGGTCCCCGGCTGCAGCTCCGTGGCCGTCGGGCACTTCAGGTTGTCGTCGTTCGTGGCAGAAAGGGGTTTAATTCTCCCCAAAAGCACGTTGATCTGGGGTGCTGCCTGACAGCATGCAGAAATCTTGGAGGGGGCTCGAAGTCCCCTCTGGGACCACCAACAATTATGGTATCAATGGCAGAAATACTAATTTTGTTGCTTTTTTTTTTTTTAAAGACTATTTTTTAGATCCTACAGCAGCTGGTGGCCCCAGGGGCCGAGCTGGGGCCGTGGCAGTGCCAGCCCAGCCTCAGCAGTTTGCTTTTTGCCCACTTGATCTCAGCAAGGGGCACAGGTGATTCGGGAGGGGCAGAGAGGGGCGATCGCTGTCTGCGGGGCTGGACCCTCCCTTTCTGCCCCCAAAGAGCCGGCAGTAGTTTCCAGCCGCAGATTCACCCCAGAGCAGTGCTGATGAGGATACTGAATTGCACACTTTTAAAATCTTGGGCTGTTTTTTGCTTTCTTTTTACTGTTAGCAACAAGAGAGGCTGGTGCAGCGACTAGAAGATGCTGATCATTACTACAAACGGGGTCTCCCTCTCCTAATTAGCACTAGAAAGAGCAATGCCGTATTAAAAAAAATTAATAAGTTTAAGATAAAAGGATGTTTTCTGCTTAAAAAAGCGGTTACCACCAGGAGGGACTCCAGCCGTTCAAGTAGTAGAGGCAAGGCAGGTAGTGCCAGCCGCCCCGCAGCGCGAGCAGCGATGCTCCGGGCAGCTCGCCCGCCTTCTGCCCGGCCAGACACGGGTCCAGTCTGCTGATTTCTGGAGCGACCTGTTTCCTCTTGGTTTTATACCTCCTGTTCTGGAACCAGATTTTCACCTGGGTCTCGGTGAGCTGCAGGTTTTTGGCCAGGTGAGCTCGCTCGGGGGCCGACAGGTATTTTTGGTGGCTGAATTTCCGCTCCAGTTCGATGATTTGGGTGTGGGAGAACGCTGCCCGCGAGCGCTTCGTCTGCTTGGGGGGGCATGGAGCGATGGGCAGGGGTCGCAGGGCGGGGGCGCACTCCAGCAGGCAGGTGGCATCTGTGAGAGGACAGAGCTGAGAATTACCCACTGGGCAATTGCCTGAATCCCTTGCTTTTTCCCTTCCAGAGAGCAAAATTCATCTTATCTCAGTTACTTGTCATTTAATAGAGTGAACACCATCATAAAGTCACATAAGGGAGGTTTTTTCCCTAAATCACACTTTCTTAATTCAAATAAGCATGCATTCAGCCTGAACACACATTCAGGGGACTAAAATTAGACAGAAAGGGCTGTTTTGCAATGCTGGTGGAGGACTGGTGAAACCCTCAAGGTGCCGCTCTCACGTACATGACGGCAGCGACAGCTCTTGCGATTTTTATTGCAGAATTCATACTATCAGGCACTTCTCCGAAACGTCCTTTTGTGGCTATGGGAAAACCCTGATCCCCAGAGGAAGGTTTCTGTCCTTAAGGATAGCTCAGACATGGGAAATCAGTGCGGCTTAGAGCAGACTGCGGTTAGCAGGCACCGGACTGAAAGTCCTCCCTTTTCTCTTTCACGACTCAAAGGCAACGCCGGCTAATTCCAGGGCAGATGTTTAATATGTTTTACACATACAGCTCCAGACCTGGGCTTGGGTCACGGCTCCAAAGCACCATCTTAGTGTTTGCCTCCAATTTATTTTTGGTGGCACCATTTGGCTGCTGGAACCGGACCCAGGGAGGTGCTGAACTTCCGTGAAAGTGTCACGTATAACCATTAGAACTTCTCAAGTCAATTCATTTAAGCAGTTAGTTCCTTTTTTGTGTATTACCCAGCTTGGGGAGGAAATAGGCAATTTTTATTTTTCCTTTTAGTCATTTCCTAGTACATTTTCTTAAGATGCGAACACAATGCTCAAAGAGAGAAAAAACAGGCTTAATCCCCAGCTTGTGTAAATCATGGTAGTCCCACTGAAATCCCCGGAGCTGCCCTGATTTACACTATCTGCTTCCTGGGAGATTTGGTACAGCTTTTAATGATTTTTTTTTTTTTGGTAATAATCAGCCCAGTGGCTCTTTCTGAACTTGCTTTTATGTAGAAGTTTCTTTTAATAGAATCGCAACGTAAAGCCAAAATTCCCCTGGCAAAGGGCTCTCTTAGCAAGCAACAACCAGTCGCTAGAGAGTTCAAAATCGCTTTTTTGGCTGTTGCAGCTCAGCCCCGTGCTGCTTGGGCAGGGACTGGCTGAGTCCCTCCCGCAGCCCGGCCGTGCTCCTGCTGCAGCGAGGGGGGCACCGGCCAAAATAACTCGCCTGTGGGTGTGATTTTGGGTATGTTGCTTCCGCAGCGAAGCCTTATTGCCTATGATGAGTTTTGGCAGTTGCGTGCTAGAAAGGGGTGCTGGGAGCGTTGTATCGAGAGGAGCAGGGTCGTTACTAGCAAACTGCCAATGTGCAGGGGTGCGGGGCAGGAGACGGGTGCGCGGGAGAGCCGAGCCCTGCTGAGAACGCCCCAAATTCAACGCAGGGACTTGCAAAACATCCCCGGGCCGGGGGCACCGAGGAGCTGGGCTGCGGTGGCATCACGGTGCTGGTGGCAGCGTGAAGGATGGGCACAATCTGCCTCTGAGCCTGCAGCCCCGGGGTGCCCTCCTGGGCACCTTCTGCGTTAAAAGGGAACTTTATTTCCCAAGATATCGCAGAAATCCATCAACCAGGTTTTTTTTTAAATAGCAGATTCAGTCCTTTGAGTTATTTGAAGAACCTGGCAATAGGTTTACACACAGTTTCTATTTCTCTTGCTTTCCCACTGTTAAAGCAGATATTCCCTGGCATTCCAAGCCTGGGTTCTTTGGCTCTGGGGTGCTCGAGGCAGCCCGGTCTGGATCCTGCCCTTGGGTTGACCCAAGCGTAGACATGGCTGATCCATTCCCCGTCCAGCAGGCTCATCCGGGAGCTTCCACCCCCTTACCTGTGTCTGCCTCGTGGCGTGTCCCTTGGACTTGGGCTGGGGATCCTCCTGGGGGACGAGGGCTCCCGGGGGGGTGCCCTGGGACAGCCCCCAGGGCTGAACTGCCCTCCGCTGTAGCTGCCTCCTGCTCCGCGTCCTCTGGGCTGCCAAACTCTCTGCTCTTGCCCCGCTCTGGCCACGCTCCCCGCTCTGCCCCATCCCAGAGGATGTCTTGGATGAGGAAGGATGTCCGGGGCCTGGAGGAGACGGGCATGGTCTGCTGGGCTGCTGTCGGGGTCCGGCTCATCTCTGCTGGGGTGCTGCTGGGTGCTCTCTGCCTCCTTGCAGGGAGCACCCCGGCACTCATCCTCCTCTTCCTCTCCCTGCCCAGAGGCACGCTGCCTTCCCACCCTCCCAGCTCTGGATTTATACGGCAGGCAGCCAAGCCTCCCGGGCCTGATTGGAGATCCCTGGCAGGAGTCTACGCCATTCGGTTGTGTCTCGGCTCCCGTGGGTTTTCTCTCCGCTTGCTTCCCTCTCTTGCTCAGGACGCCCTTCCCCACGGATCCGTGGGGTCACAGCCAAACCTCAGCCTCCTCCCTTGCCCCTCTCTTGCTCCTTTGCTGGCAAATTGCCCCCGAGCCCTTACGCTGAGAGAAGGATGCCTGAGCGAGTTCATCCTTTTTGGGATCCAAATACTCCCTGGACGTGGGAGTTGGTGAGAGGAGGGGGGACCAGCACCGATGCCTTGGGGGGATGCTCTGCAAGGGGACCCCTTCTGCACCCCCAGCCCCAGCGAGCCAGGGATCTGCTTGCTCCTAGTTATGGAAATGATTAATGTCCCAGGGTAATCCCTAGAGCTCTTGGGGAAAATGCTGTTTTCAAGGGGAAAAAGTGAAGAAAATAGAAGGATTGTGGTTTTTATTGTATTTTGAGGGTTTTTCCTCAAAACCTTCTTCTTTGATGCACTTTCAGGCTGTTGAAAAACAGGGGGAAAATGTCAAAGACGTTTTCACCAGCATTGCAAAGCTGGTCTAACGGGGACTTTAAAATGAAAGCTAAGATACAACAGAGAGGGAGAGTGGCTCCAGAGGCAAATGCTTGCCCAGAGTCTACGCCAGGGTTCACAGGAAAACTCAAGCCTAAACCTCAGACTAATTCCTCGACCAGCTGTGGAATGGGACAGCATTTATTTAAGAAGCCTTAATACTGTTATACACCATCCTGCAAGGCCCTGTGTTCAAAAGCACCCGAAAGGAGCAAAACCTCCCCAATTCCAAGAAAAACCACGAGTCGAGCTCTCTGTTATGACACTGTTATGTTACTTTTCCCTGAGTATCCGCTTTATTTGTAGTTGTTCTTCTAGAGTTTCTGTTGGGAAAACAACTCCCCTCTCGCCACACAAACAGCAGCGAAACCCCCCAGAACGTGGGCAGCAGATGATTTAAAAATCACCTTGTCCCACCGTCAGGCAAAGCCATCTGGTTGGGAAACCCCCGTGGGAGCAGGGTTCGGCTCTGCGGATGCAGATGGGCAGCATCCCTGGAAACTCTGAGCGATGCATATATATATATATATATCTGTATACAGTGACCCCCTACAGCCCCGCTGTCTGCAAACTCCTTTTGCCGTTGGAATAACATAGCACTGATCACCACATCTATTCCTAAAGCCTTCGCTCAGAGCCAGCCCCAGCCCCTCTTCTCCAGTCAAAAAGCCCAGGCATGGGTTTTTTTAACCTTAAAAAAGGGAAACAATAGACTTCCTTGGAATCCCCAGAGGACTTTGTTGATTTTAAAGGAGGGTGTTTGGTTACGGCAGCCGAAGCCCAGAGCAGGTTGTGCAGACGTGCCCCAAACCCTGCTTTTAACCCACCTTTTCTCTCATTCTTCAAACTGTTGATGCTCCCGGCTTAGAAAACGTCACCTTATATTCACTGTAAGCTTGGAAAATGTCAGTAGCTTCAAAAATTCAGCCTCATCATCCTCCTGTAGTCCAAGAGTTTGGAAAGGTCTGTTAGGCAATTGGACCCCAAGAGTGTTATTGCAGCCGTGCCCCGGCCGCTGGCCCCAGAACCCCCGACCTCGCTTCTGGAGGGCAGGTCAGGAGCCCGCGTAGGGTGCTGCTCAGCCATGGTTGTTGGGTGGGCTGCCCCATGGCTCCCTGCCTGCCGCTCCAGCTGGACCCCCCTGGGCTGCGTAGGGGGCTTGTGATGGACGGGGAGCCCGAGGGGCACCAATGGGTCCCCTGGCAGGACCGGGGCTGGGCACGCGCCCCGCTGGGCTCGCCCAAGGGTGCAGTGCATGCAGGGATTGCAGTGCGTGCGGGGATGCTGGCTCAGGTCAGAAGCCACGCAGCTCCCTGGAAGCACTCTGAGCTGAGCTCGGGAGCCAGTTTTCCCACCGCAGAGACCCTGCGCCTGCTGCCCTTGCTGCTGTCAGAGATCAGCACATGCCTGCACGCCCACAGACTCAGCCTCTCCTGCATCCATGGCTATTCTGGGATCCAGCACAAATACATGAGGATAAGACCCAGCAGAAGGGCTTCTCTCCCCGGGACTGGGATGTTCCCCTCCTTCTGGGGGGGCTCCTTTCCTTTCAAGTCAGCATTTCCCTGCAAATAGAGGTGGGCTGTGACACCTCTGCTTGGCACCAGCAGCTTCACCACAACCCTTAGTGAAAACTCTTGGTGCTGTTGGTCTGATCCACACCCCCACCACCACCCCCCATCTGTGGGTCTGTCCTGGGCAGCCTCATTACACGGCTCTTTTGTGGCCAAGGCTCCTGTCCCTTCATTACCGGTGCCCTCATCTGTGTCTTACTCGGTGAAAAGAACTCGTAGCTGATCAGCAGGGAGTAATTTGGCCCAGGGGAAGAAGGTTTTGGGGAAAAGTTGGCTGGTTTGTGTGTCTGTGCTTGGGGAAACTAATTTTTGCAGCAGTTGGTGTTGTGGGTAATTTCTGATTTGGGCTGGAAACTGCGAGGGTTGGAAGTGACAGCCCTGGCATGTGCTGTGGAGAGGCAGGGGACAGAGGGGATCTGGCAAATGCTGGGGTTTAAGGGTATCCTGAGCCTACGGGACCTGGGCTTTCGGGAAACATATGGAGGGGGATAAACAATGCCTTCAGTGCTCCTGATCCCCATTTTGAGGCTTTTTTTCTGAGCTGGGAAGGGTAGCAATTTCCTTCTTTGATTCCTGCGTTTGTTTGGGGGGAGTTTCATGTGATTTGCTTCATTTTATTGCTGAACCTCAAAGGAAAAACTCTCTGTGTTGTTAAGACTTGCAGGGGGACCCAAGCACTGGGGGTGCTGCTGTTTGCCGGGGCTTTTCCCAGTGCTGCCAGCATTCCGTGATGCAAGGGCCCTGTCGAGTCCCCTGGCTGCTCCAAAGTCAGAACAGAGAGCCGAGACCCAGCTGAATTTGGGAGATATCCCGGAGTGAGTGTGGATGGATGACGGGCTGTCACCTTACCCCGTCTTGGCAGAGCTGCAAAGCCCTGGCGCAGCAGGATGACGAGCTGGCTCGCCGAGAGGGATTTTCTGGTTTGATTTGGATGTCAGGGATGTCTCATTTGGGAAGTGAGCGAACGCCAGAGTGATGGGGCTGAGTGGAGTTAGAGATAAAACCTTAATTGCCTCCTGCAAGTCTCTTTTTGCCAGATGCTGGGAGGATAAGAAGCTGTCGGGAAAGGAGCAGGGAGGAGGGGGCAGCATCCCGGAGCAGGGACAGAGGTTGTGGGGGGAGATTTTCCCTGTCCTGTGTGGTGGGAGTTGTGTGCAGGTTGCTGTCTGGCTCCAGCCTCGGGATACCATGGCATTGTAGTGGAAAGAGCTCTGTTAAACCAGTATTTTGCATCAGGCATTGACCTTTGTGTGTGTTTTGCCCCCTCCCCTATACGATAAATCCTGCACTGGGCGCCATGGGCAGCCCAATGAGTGAGTCGGTCTAATGAGGTCTCGCTGGGTTTATTCTGTAAGTGTGAGGCCGTGGATTCGTGCTGCCTGTTTGGGATGTGGCTGTGTTCCCCTTTGATCCATCCTGGGACACCGCAATGGCATTCAGCCCTCCTGCA